ACGTGTTTGAGAATGCAGCTTCCTCCAACTCCAGCTGTACTTCAGTACTGTTATAAACTGAAGACACATAAATAAAATCATTAAACTGTCCCTTTAAGACTCTTAGCAAAGCCCTCCTAGTCCATTTACAGTCACACTAAGGCTGCACTGGAGATGTTTCTACTGGGGAAAGCGGTCTCGTTCTTTCTCGCCATGGCCATGCCCACATTCTGTCACCCCAAAAATACCCAGGGCTTTGAGAAATGCCATGGTGAAAAAGCCCAGTGAGGGAGCTGGCAGCCGCTTAGCTTTAGCTTTGGCTTGACCGCTCCGGTTACTGAGAGAGAAACTCAATCTGGACACACGTAATGGCCAGAGCTGCCTCATCCTCCTGTCAGCTATTCTGCTGTGTGACATATCACTGTCCCAGCGAAAGTCCATTCAGTAGCACTGTATTAGTCCCTTTCTGCAGGTCTCCCAATTGATCCAGTAATATAATCAAAACATTTGAACTGATATATGAAAAATTATTAAAATGTAATTGAAACATTTTAAAAATACTTCAAAAATGGAAGATCTAAAACTGCATTTTGTGGACACTGTGAAAAGGATGCAATACTAGTTAATAATTTTAACATCTAATATGAGAATAACGTAAGAATTTAACAGTGAATGTGTCTCGTCTCCTCTTAGAAATTCCTGTACTGTTAGTTTCAGGATTTTGTATTTGGTAACTTTTTGATCTTGCGTCACAGACAGTGAACAGGTTCCTCATCTAATCTGGAGGCTTAGCTGGAAAATGTGGTAATAATACTGACCTGACTCACTGATGACCGTGTAAATCCAGGAAACCATATCTGACCTAAAATTAGGGCTGTAGAGCTGCGGATTTAGTGTTTCATGTCAGCTGAGGAAGAGCTTGAAGAATAGGAGGTGTGTTAAATCTTTTAGATTAATTGGTGTTATTTGTGTTAAAACACTGACCAGCTGATGGTTAATTAAGCTGGAACCCTCACTTTGACTGGTCCTCCTAAGCCTGTTACAGTGAGTGTGTTTACAGGCACTTAATAATCCGATAACAGCAGAAAATCTGATTTTGTCAGTAATCTGATCAATACGTTTACATGCACTTGGGTGATCAGGTAATGGGGAAACTCCAGGTCTACATGAGTCAGACAGTAATCAGATTTCTGCTTTACAATCAGCCAATGGACTCACAGAAGAAGACGTGACGGAAGCGTAACATAAAACTCAAACTTTATGCTGTGGCATTTTTTTTTAAACACAGAGTCACTTTACCTGCAAATATGAACAAACATCATCTAGATGTAGTCGGTTTTAGCGTCGCTCCAAAAGCGTTTCACAGCGTCTGTTTTCACGCATGTGCAGACTGAGAAATCCGAAAGAAATCAGAGTAAGAGTTTACATGCACTGAGAAATCTGATTACTGAGCTAAAATCCAGCCTCTTTACCGAATTTCTTTTACATGTACTTGCTGTTTGCATGACTATTTGAATAATCAGATAACTGTAGAAATCTGATTATGATTGGATTAATGAATGCATGTAAACGCACTCATTAACACCTCGCAGCCCCCAAATGACTTCACTGCTTTTACACTGCAGTTACTGTAAACCAGGGATGTCAGCCTGGGTTTCTTCTGGGACACAGCTCAGCAGTTTTATTGTTTTCCCTCTTCTAATGTGAATCAGAGTTCAGCTCACGAAGGCCTGGATAATTAACTGATGAGTTGAATCAGGTTCGTTTTAGACGCAGGAAGTGGGGGTAATAAAAAATGATCTTAAACCTAATTTAAACATAGTAAAGTCTTATACCTGCTTGTTTTAGAGAGGAAATGATTTGCATCAAGTTTGTTCAGAAGGATTTAGCAGAGAAATCAGGGTGTGCATCAATATGTCCGTTCTGTGGGTATGTTGTCATCTGTCACCATGTTGTGGCACATCATGAATGATGCTCTGTTTGATGTAAATTCTCAAAATAATTCAAATAAATCATTTTGCATGACGTCACCATTCACGTCATGTATGTACCGCTTAAAATTTCAGCACCCTCAACTCCGCTGCGCCCCTGAGGAGCGCTAAACTCTGCAGTGCCAGCTGTAAACTAAAGCCACGAGAGGCCCTGTGTTAGAGGTTTTACCATGATGAAGGGCTGTTATTGATTATTATTTATTTATAAGACAAAAGCAAAACACAGTGTGATAATTAAATCAACGTTCAATGAGGAGTTTTGTTCCAAAACACATTACAGACAACTTTCACGACTTTTTATGATATTGGGAGATATATGGGCTTTCCACATGCAGAAAATAAAAATGCTGTGTTATGTTTAATACAACCTTTATTAGAGAAATAATGTTTTCTGTGATTCGCCAGCTCTGTTTAAAAACTCTTAATATAGAAAATAGTTCAAAATGGATGTACAGCACTTTGGAGTGAAACCTAAATTCTTCCACCAAGCATTAGCTGTCAGCTATGGTTGCCAAACAACATAATGTTCATGGTTTTTAATAACTTGGTGCATTAATACAGAACCGGAAATATCGGCCAATGTAATTATATTGATACGTATTATATTTTAGTCTTATACTCCAGTAGTTTTAGTTACACAGTACCTTACTGACTGATACGTCTGTCAGTCCTTAACTGTCAAACCTGAATAAAAAGCAGAAACTCTGTCTTAAATAATTTGAATATTGTAGTGCAGGAGGTTAGGCTAATACTTAGTAGCTTTGTTTTCAGTTAATTATCTCTTATATTTATTATATATCATTATCTATCTTCATAAAAAGTTTATGATAATGTTGCACAGGTTTGGATATTGTAGGTTTAACCCTGATGGTGTTTTGTGATCTTATGCTTCAATACGGTCTGTGTTGTTGCTGTATATTTAAACAGGGGTTGAGTCATATTGGGTTCACCATCTCATTGTCAGAAGGTTGTGAGTTCAAATCCCAGTGATGATCAACCAAATTATCGCCATATGATCGTCAGTATTTCCTCTGATAGTGATAAAACAGCGGATCATTGGCCAATATTATCAGCCGATGTGTTGCAGTTTTATCCCCTGAGTTTTTTTAATTCTCCTCAGTGAATCGGACTCATCATTCCCCTCCAGTGCTGTGTTTACCGTCTGTAGCACATAAACATGTCTCACATGAGCAGTGTAGTGTAGAAGCGGTACGGTAAGTAGCCTCAGGATGACCAATAGGGCTCCAGCAGCAGGCAGGCTGTAAGCTGACCCTTCTCCTCCAGCACTATCTTGTGTCTCCTCCATGACCATCAGGAAAGTGAGGCTTCTACTCATCAGCGAAGGAAAATAAAACAAACAAAAGCACAGGATCTAATGACGGAGGTCGTGTTACAGAGGGATACGGTGAGAAGGACACCTCTGCTTAGCTGTGCTATTCTCAGATAACCTCCACAGGAAGTGGGGTGACATCAGCAATATAATGGATACTACATAACCAGTTTTCTTCCCTTTTCCAGACTACAGTTAAACTTTCCTGTGCCATGATTGTCCGAGCCAAGGCCATATTAGTCATAGTCATTAGTCTATTAAGGGCAAGACTGTATCATACATTCTGTGTTGTGAAGAAGTCCTCCACTCCTGCTCTACGGATAGACCCCATGTGTCAAACACAAGAGCAGGCCCGCCACACAATCCTGTCCGGCCTGCAAAAGAATTTTAATTTTCTATTAATAATAGCCCCTTTCATAATGTGCTGCACTACAGTCCCCAGCATGCACTGCAATGTAATGGGCCCTTCAACTCTCCTATCCCATTAACAATCTATGGGACAGCAGTTACACCTCAGTTCTACACAATTCCACCCCAGTCATATCACCAAAATGCATTTCAGCTGCAGTTCAACCTATATAAACACTGAATGTCAGCTCAGCAGCTCAGAAACTGAGCCCAAGTCTTAATGAACTTGCAGCTAAGAAAAGATGTCAGGTGTCTAATTCAAGCAAAAAGGTAGGTTTAAAAGACCGAGCACCTGGGGACGTGTAAATTTTAAATATCTCAATTGTCCATGTAATATTTCAGGGTCTACAACAAGTGTCTGTATTTTACTGTTGAAGTTTTTGCGTATTTTGAATAAACATTGGCCAGTTCTTGTTATAGCGCAAAACATTTTTTTCTCTGGCCCACAGACTTGATGAGATTTTTTAATATGGCGCTCTCACTGGTTGAGTTTGACACCCCTGATATAGACGGTACCGTCTCTGTTTAGGATAAATAAATAAAGACTGAGGCTTAAGTTGCAATTAAATTGTTTTGCTTGGCTGAATTCTTAACATTGGGCCTCATTTACCAGCCATTCTTGAGAGGAAATGTCTTAAAACCCACTGACAAAGATTATGATGTAATGTGGGGTTTGTTCTTAGGTAAGAACAGGATCTACACATACTCAAGAACACAAAGGTGAGAACAGTTCTGTGCTTTAAGAACACGTCGTGAGTCTTTCTTAGGACCTTTCTCACTGGTGGATGAGGCCCATCGATTGTAAGGTCTGTAATGAAAATGCCTGGACTGGACAGACACCTGAAAGTCAGAGGCCGCCCTTCGTTTACTTAATTTTCAGTCTAAACAGCCATTAAGTAGAAATTCATATTCCAGAGAATCGACATTCATATTTTAGAATCGACATCTAGCATTGCTTCATTTTTTTACTGTCGTACTAGTTAGTTGAAACCTGTGAAGTTATAGAGGTGTAGCATCATATTAGGATCATTTTACACATTAATCTTTGACAAACTGGATTCATTTCAGTCACTTTTCAAAACTTGAAGTGTGAGTGTAGTACCGTCAGAATAATACTGAGTTCCATGGTGGCTCTACACTCATCGGTCTCCCTGCCATGGAATGTAAGAGCTGCTTTCCGTATGACGAATTCTCATCATGCCTGTTAGTGAGAACAGTCCTGCTTCCCAAAGTACCACAAAGTGTCTGCTTTGGCTGGATTATGGAGTGTTTGTCCTCTGCTGTGCTTTCAGGACTATTCGAATGACGACACCAAGCTGGAGTACAATGTGGACGCCGAGAACGGGATCGTCATGGAGGGCTACCTGTTCAAGAGGGCCAGTAATGCCTTCAAAACATGGAACAGGTCAGTGGAGAGCAGTACTGAAAGAGAAAAGCTCAGATAAGTGATGTTGATCAATAACTTTATTTATTTGTGTTTACACTGCTGTGCCATGAAAAATGTTCAAAGGGCTCATAACATGGAAAACTGACTTTATTGCTTTTTTTAGTAAGAGTTTGATGTAGTATGTAAACAGTGAGTGTGTTTACGTGGATTTAATAATCTGATAACTGCAGAAAATCAGATTTTGTGAGTAATCTGATCAACGTGTTGCCGTGCACTTGAGTAATCTGATAATGGGGAAACTCCGGATTTAGATGAGTCAGACAGTAATCAGATTTCTGCTTTGCAACCATCATCTAGAACAGAGGTCTTTAATTGAAATTCAGTAAGGTCCAGTTAAAGAAAATATCCTCAAGCGAAGGTCCAGAACATCATAATGTCTAACTTGCATCATGATTCAGTGCCATATACTGTTTACTGAAGTAGCCTAGTAGGTATATCAACATCTTATACAGTCAACAACTGAATGTCAAATCAAATAAAGTACAATTCAGTAAAATTTATTGTCAGTTTTCTCTTTTTAGAGAACGTCATGTGAAATAACTTCCCTCTGACTCACTTTCTTCTCTGACTGCTGTTTCTCGCCTCGTCCCTCGCCTTTTGTGTGCGTCACTCACTCGAGTCTCAGTGCTCATCGTAATGCACAGATCTGATTGGCTGAGTAGCGTCACATGTGATATTTACGACGCATGTGATTGGTCTGTGAGTCTCCCGGGCCGCTAAAGCTACCGTAAAGGCTAGAAATGTTACGCCGATTAAACTAGGACCACCCCGTCGACATTAAATAATTCTCCTTAGTTTATTGGTTATAGGTCCAGGTCTGCATTGGACAGCGTCTGGGTCCAGACTCGGACCGCGGTCCGCCTATTAGTGACCTCTGATCTAGAAGATGAAAAAGATTTAATGGATTTGGTTTCAGTGTCGCTCCAAAAGTGTTTTGCTGCGTCTCGCGGCAACGCTGCTCGTTTATTTCCGGTACTGCCGTCTGTTTTCGCACATGACTGAGAAAACGAAAGAAATCTGAGTAAGAGTCTACATGCACTGAGAAATCTGATTACGGAGGTAAAATCCAGCCTCTTTATCAGATTTCTTAATCAGATTTCTAGACCTTACTCCGATCTAAGAAATCAGAGTATGGTGTTTAAATTTGTATGGTGACCATTTGAATAATCAAATAATTGCTGAAATCCAATTATGATTGGATTATTTAGTGCATGTAAACACACTCATTGTGAAAGTATCTAAACATACCATTTGATCCAGTCCCTAAAGTCCGTATAATAAACATCTTCAAAAACAGCCTGTTTTGAATTCACTGTTGACGAAAATCAATGGATTTGTCTACATCCACCTATTCAGCCTACAGCAGTTTAGCTCCGCCCATTCACTCTGAAGTTATAGGGGCTGTTTCATGTTGGACTGCTTTTTGAATAAGGCACAATACAGGGTACAGGCAGCCAATCAGAACAGAGATAATTTACCTACAGCAGTTTTAAAGGCAAACTAAGAAAACAGCAGTGAAGTCCTAAGGAATAAAGGGAGGTTGGAAAATTGGCTGTTTTTTGGTTCATAAAACCAAAGCTAAACCAAAAAGCGCAGCTCCAGCAATTGTATGAATTTGTTCAATTCCAGTTCTTTACTAGTTCATTCAGGTTAAATTCTTTGTTATTTGTCAAAACAATCAATAGGCAGGTGCCACTCCATCATAACATGCAGTAGCACTTCAGTAGCTTGAAGTTTTGTTCTTTTCCTGACTGCATTTTTGTGTTTTTCTTTCCAGGCGTTGGTTCTCGATTCAGAACAATCAGCTAGTCTACCAGAAGAAGTTTAAGGTTAGTATCTTGTCTGTTCCCTCCTGAAATGAAATATTCATGCTGAACGTGTCCTGGTTAGAACATCTTTAATGGTACAAGATACTCAGGGGGAGTTTTGTAGCTGCTGTGTGTTTAAATTAGGCAGGGGAAGCTATAAAAACACCACAACATGCATAGTTAACGACCGATAATAGTACGTAGATTAAAACTGGCTTTCATTTGGCTTTCAGAGTCAAGATCTAAGCTTTATATTCACAGATACAGTGTAATGTATGTGTGGATCTGACTGTGTTTTGGCCTTCAGGATAACCCCACAGTGGTGGTGGAAGACCTGCGGCTGTGTACAGTGAAACACTGCGAGGACATTGAGCGCCGCTTCTGCTTCGAGGTTGTTTCCCCTACAAAGTGAGTCCAGCCTTCCCAACACTATAGCCACAGTATAACCTTAAAAAAAGGCATGTCCAAAGTCCAGATGTGGCTCACGGACAGATTTTAACTGGCCTGTGGGTTGCTTCTTCTTTAAAATGCGTTAGAGGTGGCCTACAGACCAGCAATAACTGCATTTTTTATCCTAATAGTTACTGTAATGCTGTAAATACACAACGTGATTCACCACACTGTGTTAGCTAAACTGTAGGGTCTTTTTTTGTCTGACTGCAGCTGAATGAAGTCTCTTGCTTATTACTTATCATCATGGCATTGGGCATGATGAGCGTAGGTATGTCCAGAGCAGGATTGGTCATTGCTTTTTACGGAGATTATATAAGCTGTGACTGTCAAGAGTGGGTGACCTTAAAGTAGCTGAATTCACTCATTAGAAAGGTCTGGATATGCAATGCAAAAGTTTGGCATCAGCTTTTTTCAGTAATTTAAAACTAGAATTCTTGAAATTCTTGTACATACATTTTGGTGAATACTTGGTAGTGTTTATATTCATGTTGTATGAGTTTATAACATAAAGTTAATATGAGTGAATAAAAGTTAATATAAGTGTTCTTAAATTGTTTAAGTATTTGTAGATCCACATCTACACATCTGTAGACATACAGTCTATGTGCAAGTACATCATCCACTGACAATGACAACGCCTCAGGCTTTTTCTGAAAGATACTGGATGAGGCACACAAAAGTCACATAAAACCAGTCAGAGAATTCCTACGTCATTAAATCAACTCATCCAAATGGTTTTCTAACCTTTCCTAAGAAACCATGCTGGTTAGTATGGCCATGTCCAGTTGCCAATGGCTTCAAAACAGTTACTCTCCCTGCTCACAACCATCTGGCCCTGCAGTGGACAAGAGGCTAGTTTAGTGGTTCAGGTTTTGCTGTGGACTGTCTAGTGGACCATGAGAACCTCTTGGGAACATGCTCCATGGAGCTCTAGGTAACACTCATACACTTTTAGAAATAAAGGTTCTAAACTGTCTCTGGGTCAGTTCCCCTCTTGTCACTGGGGTGGAACCCCCAAGGGTCCATCTCAGTACCTTTAGTCAGGGAATATAACTGAACCATAATCCACTGAAATGATATGTTCTAAGCTGTACTGACTCCACACACCCCGTCTCGACTCCAGGCTTTTATTTTACTGTTCTGTTTAAAACATTCGGTTATGAAAAGGTACAAATACGAACTTTTCACCTGGAGAAACTTATTTAAGGTTCACAATCAGACCTTAAAACCACTGTTGGGGCTTTGAGGGAACATTTACACTGTTTGTACCTCGATGGATGAAAAATGTACCTGAACAGAACCTTTATTTCCAACAGTGTACAGAAATATATGCATCTGAAGCAGCTTATTGAGGGGCCTGTGGTGTTTTTTCTGCAGGAGCTGTATGATGCAGGCTGATTCAGAGAAGCTGAGGCAGGCGTGGATCAGAGCGGTGCAGAACAGCATAGCTACAGCGTTCAGAGACCGAGCAGAAGACTCTGAGGTGATTTACAATCACAAGCAATGTAAACTTCCATTCAGTTTAATTCAGCCATTGCCATTATCCCTATGGCCACTACACCTATAGCTGCCAGCTAAAGGAACAGTTTGGCAAAAAATCAAATTTACACAATTTTCCCTCACACCTAACGATGTACGAGGTAAAAGTGATGGAAACTTAAACCCCACCAATTAGCATTCGGCTAACTGCATGTGTAATTCATTACACACTCATCTCAAACCATGTGGTCTTGTTCAGTAACTCTAATAGACTCAATTATGTGGTTTCTGACACATGGAAAAAACATCAGATGCAGATTCAGACTTCAAATTGCTACTATTGATTTTAGCCCTCAGTGGTTATAGTTTAAGCATAGTGGTGGTCTTTGCCAGCAACCAACAAAAGACAGATATTTGGCTGAGCGTAATTTTCAGTGTATTATTCCAAAGATATACTGAACTGACGCTCAATATGACCCGATTTTACCTCAACTGGGGGAAACAACTGTAATAAAGAAATTCTAATGGGCACAATTTCCTCCTCAAATTTAGTCGATCAATAAAGACATCTTCTAGGACTGCTGTGCCAGTGTAGCTAACAAGTAATTAATGTTTACATTCCACCGTTTACCACAAACCTGCCTCAAACTGTCTAGTTGATTATGTGATTTCTGACATTGTATAATACACTGTTATCTATAAACGTAAGACGGGTTGGCAACCCGAATGTTAAGAAGAGCCGTTTTGTCCCTTCAATAAAAATCAAACGACTTTGGGAGTCACAACGTTTTATATCCATCTTACCATCTTGGCTGTAAATATGTCTCAGTATGTCCTGATGTGCTAGTATAGACTAAAAATATAATATAAACAAGAACAGACTTACTTTGCTCTGCTTTAATCTGTAGCTCAGCTATAGCTGCTTTTCTCTCATCTCTGGCAGGAAACTTTTCCACAAAAGTGGAACAGCTTCTTGTAAAATGTCCCTCAACGTTCGACTTTTTACGAGGCTGAAGTCGCTTCTTATTCACCAGCTTCTGGTTCTGATTCTCCCGTTCCACCTTAAATGGTGCCTGAGGTGCCAGAATGTGAGGCTGTAATGTAATATAACACCAGATTGCGATGTGATGCTGCACCATTTAAGGTGGAACGTGAAAAGTTGTGTGTTTATAGATGCAAATAAGTCCATTCATCTCTAAATTACATTCGTCTTACTTCTTTCTCGTTTCGTTAGCTGCTAGCTAGGGAAGATTGTTGTCTGCGTTACTATGGTGACCAGCAGTCTGCGCGCCAACCTTCAGGTTTAAAGCATGAATTAGCAGTTCTACATTAACTCCAGCATTTAAGACCATTTATTGATGAAACTGACCAGCAAAGGTTTGTTTATTTAAGAGGATTCTTTTATTTGTACCTAAAAATCTAAAAAAGGGCAGTAAAAGAGCCGCATGCAGCTCTGGAGCCATGTGTTGCCGACCCCTGACATAGACGGTATGAACAAAATGTATCAATATCATCATCATCATCAGTTGTTGCCGTTCCCATGCTCAAGGATGCTTTACAATCAAAAAACATGAACACTTTAAACAACTAACAACAAAGGAACAACACAGATAAACATTAAAATATAAACAGAACAACAACAACACAAGTAAAACAAGTAAGCCGCGTTCCATAATTCAGAAGCTGCTAGACTGACCACCCATAGAAGTACATTTAAACTTTGGAACATGAATAAGGCCTAAATTTTGTGACCTTAAAGGACAGGATGGGACATATAGATGAAAAAGCTCAGCCAGATATTGAATTTCATGCTTCTAGATGGCTGCTAATACTAATTTTAGCTATGTAGTCTATTTCTATTCATTTTTATGTATATAAGATGGTTATCTCAGTTTTAAATACTGTACAACTTGCTATTTTGTAGGGTCTGAACTTCAATTACTTGCTAGCTACATTAGTCTTCTAGCTCCAGTGCTAAAACTAAAGAAGCAAACTTTAGACACCAAACCGGACTTGACTAATCAACTAAATGTGCGCTAAAGGGAAAATCTGGGGGATTTTGACTTTTCTTTTAATAGCCATTAATGACATCCTTCAAAGACAAACCGTCTTAATGAGGTCACAGAGGCATCCGTCTGACATAAGCCTAATGTGTTTGACAGAAGCTGGACAGGAAATCCTCACCGTCCACAGGAAGTCTCGACTCAGGCTCTGAGTCCAGAGAGAAGAGTCTGAAAGGAGAGAGCGCCTTACAGAGGGTGATGGCCATCCCTGGAAACAGCACCTGCTGTGACTGCGGCCAGCCGGACCCCAAATGGGCCAGCATCAACCTGGGCATCACTCTCTGCATCCAGTGCTCCGGCATACACAGGTACAGCAGCGCGGAAGCTGAATCTACTTCTTTAAGGAATTTATACAGCACCGCGCAAAAGCACAGAAAACTGTTTAGTAAGTTTTTAAACACTGTGTCCACTCACTGTCCACTCACTGTCCACTCTATTAGACACTCCTACCTTGTCAGTCCACCTTGTAGATGTAAAGTCAGAGGCGATAGCTCATCTGCTGCTGCACAGTTTGTGTTGGTCATCCTCTAGTCCTTCATCAGTGGTCACAGGACGCTGCCCACAGGACGCTGTTGGCTGGATAATTTTGGTTGGTGGACTATTCTCAGTCCAGCAGTGTCACTGAGGTGTTTAAAAACTCCTGTGTCTGATCCACTCAGACCAGCGCAACACACACTAACACACAACCACCACGTCAGTGTTACTGCAGTGCTGAGAATGATCCACCACCCAAATAGTACCTGCTCTGTGGGGGTCCTGTGGGGGTCCTGTGGGGGTCCTGACCACTGAAGAACAGGGTAAAAGGGGGCTAACAAAGTACACAGAGAAACAGATGGACTACAGTCTGTAACACAGTGCTTCTATATGGTCAGTGGACCTGATTAAATGGACAGGACCCCCCATGGACCCTCACGGAGCAGGTCTGTTGTTTGCGTGCTGTTATAATGTATGTGATTGTAACCCCTGCTGTTTTTTAGGTGGTCAGCGTCAGGATCGTCCTGATTAGCTGTTTTGAAACTGTCCCATAACCTGCTGTTTCAGCTGTTTCAGCTGCTGTTAACGTTGAATATGTTTGTGTTTCTCTTTAGGAGTTTGGGAGTTCACTTCTCCAAGGTGAGGTCACTGACGCTGGACACGTGGGAGCCGGAGCTGCTGAAGGTGAGAGGAGAGGAGAGGAGAGAGAGATTCTGTGCTGACAGATGGGCATTTGGATGCGCCAGCGTTCAGCTTGTCTCTTCCCACTGTGCTCATGTCACAGCTTGTCATATTAACCGGGGATGCACTGAAATTTTGGCCATTAAAAATTTTGGGCAGAAAATGGTAAAAAAAAAAATTCAGGTTTTCAGCTAAAAGAGAATAAAGGACAATGTTTTGACCAGAAAACTCCTGAAATAATAATAATAGTAATAATAGTAATAAAAATGAGGAATAGCAGCAGATCAGCAGTGAAAATATCAATATATGTAAAATATGTCGCTGTTGTCAGAAGAAAGCCTTATATCTCCATTTTTGTTGTATTTCAGTTTTTGACATAATTTGAAAATACCTATTGCACTTTACATTGTCTGTAAATTTCATGATAAATGAACTAAAAGAAATGACCCAAAATTACTTGGAAAAAATTCTGGTTCCATTGACTTCCATTAAAAGTGAAGTAGGTTTTTTCCTTCTCCTGTTAAGTTACCATTTCGGAGACACAAGGTTTTGTTCGGACAACAGCGATACGTAACTGTTTCACGGTTTCTACAAGGAACGTTAGGCGTGATATTTGTAGTCTCTGTTCAAAGAACGTCTCCATCACAGGTTTCATAGAACCTGAAAGCACGTCTCGATACGCAAAACAACAGAAGCAGAAAGGAAAGCCCCGCAGCGCCGACGACGTCTGTACACTCAGCTTATCAAATTATCTAAACATCCACAAACCACAGACAGAGCAAAGAATTACTAACAATAATAGAATTCACTACCTTTTAATTACCAGCTGTTCTCTGTTGTTGAGGATGTTTGATTTCGTGGCACATTCTGTAGCTGCACACTGTAATTATTTTAGTAAGTTTATTTTATGTGATAGGCTCCAGCACCCACCTGACCCAGAAGGATAAGCAGCTTAGATAATGTGTGTGTGTGTTTTTGCTGTTAGCTTTTTTTGGTTGTCGAATTATGACCCAAGGTGTCCTTAAATTTGGAATTTGCATTTTAGTGCATGATTAATATCAACATTTCGCTGCTGTTGGAACAAAACCACATATCTCCATTTTTTCCGTTTTTCATTTTTTGACATAATTTGAAAAAGGCAGCTGCCCTTAATGTTGTGTTAAAATCTCAGGATGAATGGACCGACAGAAATGGTTTTTCCTTCTCCTGTAAAGTTACTTTTTTGGAATTACGAGGTTTTGTTCTGACAGCAGCGATTTTTTTTTTTTATCTGGTTAATAATAACTTGTTTTAATACAGTGTAGATTTAAATGCTATAGGCCAGTAATTATAGAAGCTATTATAAACTAATACCTTTTCCATTTTTGGAAACAACAGGAAGTTATTAAATGATCAGTAACACACTGTAATTATCTGTTTATAGTAATTTGTCATGTTATCTGCCGTCAGACATCACCACCGTTAAAATGCAAGGCATTCTTAGTTTAGATATTAGTTTTATTATAGATCTAATGTGTAGTTTTCTGTGCTGTGTGTTTTTGTCTGTGTGCAGTTGATGTGTGAGCTGGGAAACGGAGTCATTAATCAGATCTATGAGGCTCGAAGGGTGGAGCTAGGAGCTAAAAAACCACAACCAGGAGACCCCAGGTATACAATACATTTTTGTTCTTTATTTTATATTTTACATCATTTGAAAATATCCTTTATATTGTTTTTTTTATCATGAATGGACCAATAAAAAAGAAGTCAAAGTCAGCTTCTTCAAAGGACATGGTGCTACATTTGCTACATTTAACATAAAACAGCTGCAGACGACGGTGCAGATAAATTCAGTAAATACAGGCAAACTGTAACAACACTGTACAAAAATTCTTCTGTATAATATACAATACATTTATGGCACTTGGCAGACACTCTTATCCAGAGCGACTTGCAGTTTGATCATTTTTCACACAGGTAGGTGAAGGTAGTGTTAGGAGTCTTGCCCAAGGACTCTTATTGATACAGTTTAGGGTGCTGACCCAGGTGGGGATTGAACCCCAGTCTACAGTGTAGAAGGCAGAGGTGTGACCCACTACACTACACCAACCACAATAACCATACAACCTATACTGTACAACAATTAAGCACACATTAAAAATGACTTGGAACAAAATCTTATGAGCTAGTTAGGAGAACACAGGTTCGGTTCCAGATTCCTCCTTGATGCCTCCAGCAAAAGCAGGCATTAAAATGGTTTGAAACCGTTTATCTGGGCAGTAAATGTGTTTTTGGCAGTAAAATCACTACATAGCATTAAAGTAAATGCAAATAAACATAAAAACAGTAAAACGTAACAAGAATGTACTATTTATCAGCAACGTTATGAATATGTAGGTTAGAAGAACCCAGTTAGAACGCATATTGGGACTTCTGCCCTAAAGCCATCACATTTGTTCGGTTTCATCAGCAGCACCTGCTTTAATTTAGTGAAGAATTTATTAGACAAACTAGGTGCTGGATAATAACTGCAAATAATACTGGGCTTGCTCCAGGATATGGAAATGACATGCATAAAATCGAGACTTGTGTTATTATTATATCGCTGTTGTTGGAAAAAAACCTCGTATCTCCAAAATGGTAACTTTACAGGAGAAGGAAAAAACTTACTTTACTTTTAATGTAAGTCAATGGAACCAGAATTTTTTCCAAGTCATTTTGGGCTGTTTCTGTTGGTCCATTCATCATGAAGTATACACTCAATGTAAAGGGTAGCAGCCATTTTCAAATTATGCCAAAAACAGAAAATGACAAAAATGGAGATACAACGTTTTTGTCTGACAGCAGCGATATGTATATGTTCTAATACCTGCCATATGATATGTGTATGAAAACCCAACATACCTGCTGTTCACATACTGACACAAATATTTACACGAGTGATGTCGTTTTCCTCTTAGACTTTAATATGTTACGCAAACCAGCTCTGTTTCTTTCTGTGCTGCAGGCAGGAAGTCGAGTCGTACATTAAGGCGAAGTACGTTGACCGGCGGTTCGTCAGAAGGCCGTCAGATGAAGAGTTGAGGCTGAAGGTGGTGAGTTTGAGTAAACAGGAGAAACGCCTCAGCGACTGCTCCGAACCACCCAGAGCTCCGCCCTCAACGCCCAAAGCCCGCCCAGAGTCTGGTGCATCAGGTGGGTCAGGTGCTGGGGACGTTTTAAATAACCGAACTGAAATACTGTTTGAAACTGCACCACAGCTTTGGCCACTTTTCTGCTCTGTCTGCTGGATTCTGTCCTCTCTGAACTGTCGCTCTGGTGTAACTCTGGCTTTTACACTGTATAAAGTTTGAGGACTCCTTCATTGTTACTTTTTCAGTAAGATAAAACCCACAGGTCCTTAACTTCATCATGCTGTGCTTACATTAGGGCATCTCACACTGAAACTCCTGTAGTGCAGAGGTGCTTCAAACCCCTGAAAGGTTTGAATGCTGATTAGTGCTGACATCACAACAAGGGGAGAAAGTGGGTGTGGCCTTAGACTTTATTCCCAAGCTAGCACTGTCACTAATATTAGCACAAGTACATGGGTCACTCTGCAGAAACGTCCACTGTTTTATCTCTCCATAGGAGTCACTGGTGTTACTGATCCTCACTGGTGTTACACATAATAAAGGAACACCAGAGACATTTTTAATGAACAATGCATTTTACAAAATGGCTGCTACAGAGCATCAAACCACATGTTGTCAATCATGGAATATCCACTAAAATATGGAATTTAATCCATTTGTATTCCATATTTTCACCATTTACCTCAGAATAAAGTCGGTCACACCAGTGACTTCAGCTAAAAGCTTCATATGAAATCATGAGCTAAATGAGAAAATCTCTGATAACTGAAAGACACAGTGGACTCACCATGTGCTTTTCTTCATACATCCTCAGAAAACAGGTAGAAGGAAGTCAAGTGATGTCATCAGTGTGACTTTTATTTCAAAATACGAGATTTTTTGTTACGCAGTAACACCAGTGACACAACTCCTGGGGACAACAGCTTTCATTATATATTTTATAATATTTATTTGGCTTTTTTTTTCTTTGCCATTTAATTAATATATTTCATAGTCATATATAGATTAAAGCAGTTACAATTACAGAAAACGTGTTTTTTCTTCAAAATATGGCCTCAGCCTTCACACATGACTGTGGGGACGAGCTCTTCTGTGGTGCTTGGAATTCTGTATGATTGATTTAAAAACCAATACTGCTAAATTGAGGCTCAAGAAGGTGTAATTGTTAAAATAACTTATTGTTTTATTTTAAAATATAAATAAATTGTAACTCTAACATGTTTTTTAAGTGTAATATATCTGTAAATGCTGGGGACACAAAAATGGACATTTCTGTAGAATGACCCATAAATGTGTGATATTGTTTACCTCTAAGTGAACCTGCTTAGGCTTTAGTGTTGTACTTTATTACAAACTAACAAAGAAAACAAACATTTGTATTACAGTAATTTTGAAAAGCGAGGTGTCCCCAAACTTTTGATGGTCAGTCTGACGTTCTTTGTCCTCTGGCTGTATTTGCTCTGTCTCTGTCCTGCTCTCTGCTTCGTGACTAACAATCCCCTCCTGCTCCAACCTTCTGCCCTCCAATGTCTGCCCTTTTCTCCTTGACCTCTGACCCCTGGCCTTTGCGTAGCTGCGAGTGGTCTCGAAGAAGCCCGCCGCGAGTCGCTCTTCTGTGCTGATGAGTTAGACTCTCTCTTCTCCTACTTTGACACCTCAGCCAGGCGCAGTCGTAAGTACAGCTGTATGTGTTTCCCTCCTGAACTCATCACCCCGGCGCTCTTCCTGCTCCTCCTGCTTTCTTTCAGCTGAGCTTCGTCACCCAGTCATCTGTCTAACTCGACTCATTCTCAGCGGGCTTCACTTTTTAGGTGCTGGTGCCTTTTTTCATCACTGTAATAAGAAAATCTCATGTTTAAATGGTAACTTTACGAGAAAAATAGTTCTTAAAGGAATAGTTTGGCAAAAAATATCTAATTTACCCAGTTTCACCTCAGATATAATCAACCAAGACAAGCTTGATGTCTGAAGGTTTCCCCTTGAGTTTTACACTAGAGCTGCAAGGCTAATGTAGCTAACCAGTGATGGAAGCTGATTGTGCAATAATAGTAGCTTAAGTTGTTTATACTGATGCTAAAGTTAGCATCTGCTAATATAAGTTTAAAAAAAAAGCTTTTCAAAGTTGCTGCTGGTCCACTTGTCACAAAATATGCACACACTATAAAGGCGAAATGCTGTTTTCTGTGGAAGCTCACTCTCACCAAGTAGAGGAGAAATAATCATGATTTTTTCACTTACTGTATTTCCTTATGTCAAAATTATGACTTAGTATGACTTTATATCTCAAAATGATGACTTATTTAATCTAAATTGTGACTTACTTCACGTTAATGACTTTTATTTTCAACGTAGTTACTGATTTGCTCATGTAATGACTTATGTTGATAATTGTCACTTTGTTGAAATTGAATAGCTTATTATTACAGTATTATCACATGTATTACATAGTATGTCAGAACTTCAAATCAGAATCTAAATAAATAAAAATCTTAATAAATGCTGCATTATTTCAAGATGGTCAGTCAATATTTGGAGAAAATAAGTTGTTTTTCATGATACTACATCAGTATTTTAAGAGAGGCTACGTTCACATTGCCAGGTTGAAGTGACACAAATCTGATATTTTGCCCTAATGTGACTCAGATCTGATGTTTTCAGGGCTGTGTGGACAGAAATCTGATCTTTTCAAATCCGACTTCCATATGTGGTCCTAGATTGGATACGTATCCGATTCGTGGCCATGTGACCTTAATGTGACACTCAGATCGGAATTCATGTGCTTTTTTCCACTGCGCTGCGCCATCATTCAGCGTTACCATGGCAGCAGCGCCGAACAGAAGTTAAAGCCTGTAAACGGTGGAAAAGCAGCTCATCTCACCTTTTTCTCCTTCGTCTCGCTCTAATAATGAAGCTGAGAGCTGATCAGAGTTAATGATCTTCTCAGCGAAGCTCGTTCTGCTCGTTAGTTTGTTGCTGATGATTCACGTGATTCATTCACATGACGTTACTGAGTAGGATGAGCTCATGAGGGTCATTTCAGGACGCCGGTTCGTCACATTAATGACAGATTTGATTCACTTACCTAAACGAGTGTGAAATATCGTGTCAGAGAGATCGGATTTGAGTGAAAAATCGGATTTGAGCAATGAGGATTGTAATGTGAACATAGCCAAAATGGCATTACATCAGAGAAGGAGTATAGGCATTTTTTCTTTTATGCTTTGTGGGAATGGGCTTCCTTTTTCAAATGGCATTAAAAAGAGGGGAAAAAAAGGGAAGAGGTGTTTTGAGGGGGGGGTTAGAGATTTTCGTAAGACAGTGATGATATTAACCTGTAACTTATTTCTGTGGTGTTTCTTCTACAGTTTTCATTTGTCATAAAACATCCTGTTGAACTGTAGTGAAATGCTCATTCATGGTCATTCTTTTGCCACTTGGTCAGCATTAATTGTTCGTGTTCGTCATTATTGTTAGACTGTCAATAAGATGATCTCGTTTGTTTTCAACAGTAAAGAGTGCAGACAGCGGCATCCCGAACAGCACCGAGGGCAGCCGAGAGATACTGGCCACTAGTCCGTCCACCAACAGTCTAAATGATGCAGGTCAGCCACCTGAATCCTCTGTCATCAGTGATCATACCACTTATTACTGGACCGAAGAGAGTTACATTTCCATCAGTCTGTAATAGCCCTTATCTTTAATCCTATTACAGCTGAATTAATCACTAGCCATGTTTACATGCAGCCTGACAATCCGTTAATAATCTGACTGATAGCTCAATCAGAATACAATACGTCCATGTAAACACCGCAATCGGAATAGTATATCCGTGTAATCGCCTGTATCTGATTACATTCCCTATCGGAAAGTTTAAGTCTGTTCTGATCGTGTTTGTCGCGTCATAGTGAAAGTTTATACCGTTCAACATGGCGGAGCAGAAACTGGTCTGCAGAGGAGACGAAGTTTATGCTCTGATCTTTAAAAGACGGCGGTGGGACGGACGTCCAGCTTATGTGTCTCAGAACACGACGTCTTCCTCTCGGCCTTCTTTAATAAGGACATGTGAAGGACGTTTTCCTGAGTCTGACATCATTTAAAGTAATTAAAAACACAAGCGCTGCTCACTGCTGCTCATCTCACTCTGACTGGACTCACGTGATGATCGCTGTCATGGCAACACGTACACTAAGTGTTTCTCTACGTGTGTGCATAATTTTGGATCTGATTACTTGTAGTGAGCATGTAAATGGAGATTTTCATCAGATTGTTGAGTAGAGTGAGAATAAACACCTCAGTCTTAATCTATAAGCGGAATGTATTCAATCAGATTGGCAAAAATCTTTTGTCATTCTTAAAAAAAAAAACAAACAAACTGGAAAATAGTATAAATGAGGAAAAATCACTGGTACTGTGTCTTCAGAAGTGTTGTGTATTTCTCAGAGTGAATAAAGCCTCTCATCGTGTTTTCTGCAGAAGTAGCAGAGCCGCAGTCGCCTCCGTGCAGCAGTAAGGAGCTGGTGGTGTTCTGTGAGCCGAAGGAATACTCGCCCGGCCTGCAGCTGTACTGGGCAGCTTTCACCCGCAGCCTGCCCAACATGGCTGAAGCTTTGGCCCACGGAGCGGAGGTCAACTGGATCAACACGGAAGAGGAGAAGAGGACACCACTAATCATGGCTGTGCACGGGGTGAGTGGAGGGGCTTGTTTTTTTTAATGCTAGAGCTTCCAGTGATTAATATATTAGTATACAACTATTCAGACATTTAGTTAATCAAACACATTTATAACAACAAACGTTTCATTCTAATTCATATACATGAAATTGGTAGCTACAAACATTCGTGCATGTGTGAGATCCTGCTGGTGTGGGTTTCCTCTTCTTTAGCGATGCACACAAAAGCGATTTGAGCTCCCCCTTGTGGAGAATCAGGCTGCTGAATGTGGTCGATTAATCAGGAACATATATTTTAATCGGTTTTTCAATCAAGTAATCATGGCAGTATTAATTGGTGTCAGTATTTGTGTCCCATTCACTAATTTTGGCATACAAATGATCAAACTTTGTGCACGGAGCAAGATCTAATTAAAAATTACCACCAGATTCACAACAGAAGAAATCCTAATCACCTACGGGTCTGCTGGATCTACCTGCATCACAACCAGCTTTACCTGACCTCTGCTTATTTATGATTGGTTGGTTTAATTCTGTGTTGATTTGAACCAATCAGTAAGCTCTCTCCAAATAGTGACAAACTATCATAGAAGGGGTGAACACACACACTTCAACTCCAGATGGTTTATTAATTAGTATTGCTTGGATTGTGTGTTTTAGAGCAGGAAAACACTAAAATATAAAGCAGGGGGACTTCAGGATCAGGGCTGGGCACACTGGTCCGTTATAGATTGTGTATTGTATAGTTTATTGTCTATTTATCGTCTGTACTGATTTCTGCTGGATAAGTTTGTCTCCTCATCCTCGTGTGCTGCTGTTTCGTGCTGAATGTAGCACCCCGGTTCTGTATTTCATCCCTCACTGGCCTGTCTCTGTTCCAGGGCTCTCTGGTCACCTGTGAGTTTTTGCTCCAGAATTCAGCGAACGTAAACCAGCAGGACAGCCAAGGCAGAGGACCACTACACCACGCCACCATCCTCGGCCACACGGGGTCAGTTTCCTCCACACCTTAGCCTACACATCTAGTAAAGATGGTTCTTCAAGGATTCTTTAGTGTAGAAAATTGTTCTGTATAGAACCATGAGCACTCCAAAGAACCGTTTGCATGATTAAAGGATTCTTTGCATTGCCAAAGTGTTCTTTATATCGATGGAGAATGTGTCATAGATGGTTCTATACAGCACCAAAAAGGGTTATTCTGCTGTAAGAAGCTTGACATTGTAACAACTTGGTGCTATATAGAACTGTTTTAAAAAAGGTTCTATATAGAACCATATACAACACGTTCTCCAGCAATCTGAAGAACTCTTTTATGATGTAAAGAACGCATGCAAAGCGTAAAAGCTAACTGGGGAGAGAGTTAGGCATTGATATTACAGAGGAAGAGTGAGCTAAAATGTGTTTTACACAACACATCACCACTAATTCAAGGATATGGAAAGTATTTGAATGGAAGAATTTGACCTCTTATTTTATAACTCCTGAAATGCGGAGTAAACAAATTAGTCATCAGCAGCCGTGTTGGAGGATGTGTTGGAGTAAGGAGGCCAATCATACACACATCTTTTGGAAATGTAAGGAACTGTACTCTTTTTGGGAAAACGTTTATGGTGTGGATAAAGACATTTTGGGTTATTCAGTTCCCAAAGAATGCAAAGTTATGTACCTCTGAGATATAAATGTTCATGTTATGGATTATGACAAATATTAAACAAAAATACTTCTGATAGCTGTCAAAAAAAAAAAACAATAACACGAAATTGGTATAAGATTGAACCTCCATCTATAGAACAGTGGGTGGAAATTGTACGACAGATTTATACACTGGAAAAAGTTTGAATGAGAGAAAATGTATTTGTTAATAAGTGGCGAAAATGGACAGCATATGACACCAGAGAAATACATAGGGATAAATGGATAAATGGACGGAAATGCAAGGATACTACACCTTTAAATACACTCATTTGATAAGAGTTTTGTGACCACAGACACATTTTTTTCTTTTTCTTGGTGGCGTTCTGATTGTGACATTCCTTTATTGTGCGCGTCTGTGTCTACTTGTAAAAAAACTCAGTAAACACTTCAGTGTTAAAAAAAAAAAAAACATGCAAAGGGTTCTTTGAGTGTTCATTGTTCTATAGAACCATTTTCTTTACTAAAGAACCTTTGAAGAACCATCTTCTTTAAGAGTGTACCGCACACTGGATGTGACATACTGTGTCTAAACATTTGAAGCTGTTGTTCATTTTTAGCTGTGCCAGTTTCCTGTTGGTCAAGTTTTTAGCTGTGTTTAGTGTTCAGAATATCTGAATCTGTCGTGACTTTGTGATCTTTGTTACTGCCACCAACTAAATCATAGAGGTTTGTTAGGATGGATAGTTATTCAAATAAGGACTCTTTCTTTTAGGAGTGCAACAAGAGATGTGCTAATGCTTTGGATTAGCAAACTGCAGAAACGTTTCCCACCCTGTACTGAGTAATTCTCTGATATAAAATCGTAGCTTATTTATGAGGCTCTTATTATTATAATAATAATACAGGGTGATTCAAAAAGATTAATCTGATTTCAAAGCGCCGTATTTTTACAACCGTGGGGCGCCTAGGAACCAATCACAATCCAATTGAAAGAGGGGATCATAGAGTTTCTGACTGTCAGTGGAAGATGCTCCCTTCAGTCTGAGAGGAGATGAGACCCCTGAGCAGAAAGCGTTCTGCGTTCTCCACTTCAATAAGAGTGAATCCGTCATAACTGTGCAGTGTGATTTTCGTGGGCAGTGAAGCTCCAGCAGCTCAGAGCGTTCGGCGTTGGTTCCACAACACTGGATGATCTCCGAAATCGCACTGAAAGAGCTGTGAGTGCAGCAACACCCGACACGCTCAATCCAGTATGGGATGAGTTTGACTATGGCGTTGATGTTGTCCGCACAGCTGGAGGAGGTTCAGACTGAGACCTTTTATAATTACATCATAAACTTTACGCTCATTAAACCATTTCCAGTTTACTGCATTGATCTGTAATGATTTACAAGTGAAATAAATCATTTTGATGAATCTTTTTGAGTCACTCTGTATAATAAATATATATATATAGTACATTTTAACAGTGCTTTACAGGAAGATTCAAACAAACCAATTAAGAAACGATAAATAAAAGACACTAAAAGAAAACAGAGTGGAATTTGTTAATGCTAGCGAGTCTCATTGTGCTCAGTCCTGTTCAGAAACCCTGAATGATGAACTGTAGTTGATGTCTGGTTGTGCAGAAGGTTGTCTGACCTTGTATGGAAAATAATTCTTCTCTCTGCTCTTCTGCTGCAGGCAAGTGTGTTTATTCCTGAAGCGCGGAGCCAATCAGAACGTGTCGGACATCGAGGACAAAACGCCGCTGTCGATCGCCGTAGAGGCGGCTAACGCGGACATCGTAACGCTGTGAGTTTCACTGCAGTTTTGTCACGTCTAAATATTTTTGGTATTACACGAAATCAAGATTCCACACTTTATATCAGTAATCTGCTTTAGTTCACTCTAAAGCAGGGGTCTGTGGTTTAATCAGATAGACCAGTCTGATATTTGTGACTGTTAGCGCAACAGCCCTGCTTCCTTATAACCCTTAGAAGTGTAGAGTTGCTTTGCAAACATTGCTTAGTTACAATGCTGTGAAAAAGTATTTGCCCCTCACCTTACCACTCACACTTAAATGTTTAAGATCATCCAACAAATTTTATTATCAACACAAAGTCAATGCAAGTAAACACGAAATGCAGCTTTTAAATGATCATTCCATTAATTGAAGATACAGATTTATTCAAAACCTGTATCACCTGTGTGAAAAAGTAATTGCCCCCTAAACCTAGTAACTGGTTGTGCCACCCTCGGCAGTGACACCTGCAATCAAACTAGCGATGAGTCTTTTACGTCATTGTGGAGGCATTGTAGCCTACTCTCCTTGTTTTGTTTTAATTTGGCTACATTGAAGGGTTTTTGAGCATGAACTGCCCGTTTAAGGTCTTGAGATGGGATTCAAGTCAGGGCTTTGACTCGGCCGCTCCAAAACCTCTATTTTGTTTCTTTTGAGATGTTTGTCTGGGTTCTTCTGTGACCTACTGAATGAGTCCTTGATGCGCTCTTGGTGAAATTTTGGTAGGCCGGCCACTCCTGGGAAGGTTCACCACTGTTCCAGGTTTTCCCCATTTGTGGATAATGGCTCTCACTGTGGTTCGCTGGAGTCCCAGAGCCTCAGCAATGGCTTTGTAACCCTTTCCAGGCTGGTAGATTTCAGTGACTTTGTTTGGCATCTGTATTCAAATCTCTTTAGCGCGTGGCATCATGAGCTGCGGTTTGAGACCGTCTAGCCTGCTTTACATTGCCAGACAGGTTCTATTTAAGTGATGTCAGCAGGTCTGGCAGTAATCATGCCTGGGGATAGCAGTGAAACTGAACCCAATAGTCAATTGAATTTGGTTAACTTTCACTTCAATACATAAAATCATCATTTAAAAACAGCGTTTTGTGTTTACTTTGTGTTGTCTTTGTCTAATATTAAAAGGAGTTTGATGATCTGAAACATTCAAGTGTGATGAACATGCAAACAATAGAAGAATTTGGGAAGGGGGCAAATATTTTTTCACAGCACTGTACATACAGTACATACATTCATTTATTGTATCAACTGGTCAAACAACCAACATGGCATATTTTACATCAAATTCAAATCATAATAAAATATCTCCTCTTCTACTTACAAACACGTGGGTTGAAAGTTCAGAATCTGCACTTTCCATATAATTTCTCCACTTGTTTTAATAAGCTACTATAATTAATCTCAGGTTATAGCATGTTTTTGTGAATAGCAGCTACAAAAAACAAGGTAACGATTCATTCGTTCGCTCTCGGGCGTTTCTGCAGAGTTTATGTGAATGTACGTGTAAATAAACCTCCTTTATCTCTTCTCTGTTTACAGGCTGCGACTGGCGAAGATGAACGAAGAGATGCGGGAGCTGGAGGGGCCGTATAACCCGACAGGTCAATACTCCTCTAACAGCCCTACTGAGATGCAGTACAGGAAGTGCATAGAGGAGTTTATTAGCATACAGCTTGGGGAGTCCTAGCATTCAGCCTGCGCAGCTCACCTTCACCAAAGCCTTTTAACACGTTCACAAAGACTTACAGTGAGAATCTGCACGGTCAGTTTTGGCGTTAGGTGTTAAAGGAGGTGCCCTGCTGGTGATGAAGCAGCGCGTCAATTTAATTACAGTGAATTATGGTCCTTTCTTACTCACCAATGCCTGTTAAACACTCAGTGAGGTTATTCGTAGTTCTGTCCTCCTTCATGCAGCCAGCAAGGTAGGTTTGATTCAGTTTGAAATGGATTTGGAGTCATTAGCAAATGATTCAGTGCATCAGATTTTCAGATTTCACTATGAATCAGTTCAGTCTGAATCTTAGCAAAATAACCTGACATCACAGTGAAATTGGAGGCTGCAGACAAATTGTGGTCAAATTTTCACTCCAATTGAGTTATTTTGGTAAGATTCAGGATTATCTTTAAAAATACATGTAAACAAGTGTGAATGGAGGAACTCTTTACACAGTACACTAAGATTTATTTATTTATTTATTTATTTGTTTATTTATTTATTCATTCATTCATTCACTTTCATTTTTACATGTGAAAAAAGTCAAATTTTATTTTGTCCCAAAAGGTGCATGCTTAAAAAAATATTATAATTGATTACTACATTACAATAATAATCATTATTATTATTATTATTATTATTATTATTATTATTACTGCTTTGCTCGGCCGAAAGTGGCCGCCCATTAGTGCCTATAATAATATTAAAATGGCGATCATTGCTCTTTTGCCTCATTGCATCCGCATTTATAGTAGCTTCCTTCTTACAGTGCAGAATACTGGGGGGAGATTATTATAAAAATATTGTTTACCAAGACGAGGTAGTGAATACTGACTGCGCTGTTTAACCCTATGAAGAGATCAGCTTATTTTTGGTGCTGATATTGTTTTCAAACAAATTTATTTATTATTCATTTTATCAAGGAAACAAAAACGAACTGCTTTATTAAACCTAATATTTTTATATAATATAATGTTTTATTTTAATGTCATCGAGTGTCTTAACAGCAGGTTTTATCTAAATGATGATTTGATGCTTTAATTTTCCAAACTGTTGTTAAAAGCATATATTTAAACCTGTTTGTCTGTATAATTCCAGCATCACTAAAGCTGGATTGTCAGTCTTTAATGCTGCACATATCAAAGAGACACATTTCAACTTGTTTTCACCCCGAGATGAAAATCATACCGTTCCCAAACAAGTAGGATGCCCACAGTGAAACAACAGGGATTTTACAAAATCAGTTTCCAAACACACTCAGCACAGAACTCAAGTTCAGCTCATCCCTCCAGCCGAATAATTAACACGTGAACTAAAATTAAGGTCTTATTTTCTTGAATTTCTGATGTATTGAGTCAAAATAATTACATATTTAATATGCAACAAGCAAAATGTTTGCTTATCATGCTGAAGTAATTACAAACTTTCTCGGCAAGTAAGAATTTTTTGGACTTAGTTTGAGAAAATATTGAGAAATTTTTGAGAAAGTCATTATTTCTAACTAATGAGTCACAGTTTGAGCCTGAAACAGAAGGATAAGGACCCTTTTACCTCCTATTTGGTGGAAACATGAGCTAAACAGGATTTTATATTTGCTGATCCTATGTTAATTCTAAAGGCGTTCCCAGGTCCATGTTCATTTGCGGGGAAGTTCTTAGTTGATAACCTGCTAAATTGGCCGCCACCACTGACTCAAAGTGTCTCTAGATTGTCGGTAATTAGCGCCTCTATTAGTAAACCTCATGAACCTGACGAGCCCGGTTCCAGCCCGAAAGAAAGAAAGACAGATCCTCCCCCCAGATCACGTGCACATCCCCGCGGCAGCAGTAGCATCATTTCCTAAAGTTCAGTGTGTAGATCCAGCTCTCTGTGAGCTACTGTGTTTCCTATCACTGTATAAAAGAAGCATGGGGCTTTAATGTTGGATGCATCGTGAGTGAGCTCATTCAGATCGGTCATCACTTAAAACTCAAAATAATGATATTATTAATCAGAATAATGATAAAGCACGACTGATAGTGGATTATAGGCAAGGCAAGTTTATAGAGCACCTTTCATACGTTGCTGTCATTCAAAGTGCTTTACAAATGAGAAAATACAGTCGTTTACATGATAAAAACAATAGATTTAAAAGAGAAAATCATCAAATTAAAAATCAAATGAGAAATTAATTGGGGTAATTAAAAATTAAAAGGTAAATTAGGATAAAAAGTCCCGTTACGGTGGAAAAGGGTCTATAAACGCTAACAGTGTTTAAACTGAGCTGAAGCAGCTCAAACAGGAACGTTTTCAAGCCAGATTTAAATGTCCAGTATCGAGGCTCTTCTAATGTGAACTGGTTCCATCGAGTTACAGTCTGTTCATGATTTTTTTTTTTTTGCTTAAAAATAGAGTTTGCAAGACAAACTAATAAAAAGAATCATTCTTTACGTGTCAAAATAAACTTGAGTCTCGATCTCAGGGCTGAAAATTGCATCGAACCTGAAAGTAAATCGCTGTTGTCGGAAGAAAACCTCGTATCTCCAAAATGGTAACTTTACAGGAGAAGGAAAAAACATACTTTACTTTTAATGTAAGTCAATGGAACCAGAATTTCTTCCAAGTCATTTTGGGCCGTTTCTTTTGGTCCATTCATAATGAAATGTACACACAATGTAAACAGCAACAGGCATTTTTAAATAATGTCAAAAACTGAAAAACAACAAAAATGGAGATATGAGGTTTTTTTTCCGACAGCAGTGATATGCATAGTTACACCGCTTGTAGTTATATTTTCTATTCAGTCTGACTTTTAGCTACATCGCTGGCTGCCTGAAGGACAGGAGGGCATAAAAAACCTCACATAAACATAAAAATAACTCTAAAACAGAAAGTTACTGTAGTATTGCTTTAGGATTGTCCAGTAACCGGATAAATGGATGCTGTTGCATGATCAAATACATGTCTTTTTAATTTCTTCTCTGTAAGTTTATTGATTATCATTCACTGACAGTAATAATTCAGTCTGATGGGAACACATGGGCGAGAATAGCCCAATGCAGGAGGACAGAGTAGCACTTTAGTTACAGTGTAGGACTGTGTTTCTTACTTGGTTTTTGATGCAGAAGCTGTTTATCGTAGCTGAGTCACATCAGTAGGTCAGTAGTATCAATATAATCATCGGTGCCGGTATACATTCCTTATATGCATTGTAATTTAAAGTCGTGTACTTGGATGGAGGCACATCTACATTTGAAATGTAGTTATTTTATATATTTGAAACATCTTAAGAAGTTCTTATTTCCTCGTAGCTGTAGTTCTCTATTTCTATGGTTTTAGCACCATAAAAAATATGCATTTTATTATTTGTACTACCTTTAATTGCCATTTGACTGAATTTTTAACCCATGTAAACATTTTAAAATTCATTTTTTTTACAAGATTTTACTAATTTGACCATTACAAATGGTGTCTTGCACACCTCAGATATTGTTATTTGAAAGTTACTTATTTTTTTAAATTTATTTTTTAAGTGATGAAATATATATAAAGGTATACTTTGCATTTTGTGAAAAATGTGTATATATATGAGTATATTTATGTATCAGAGACTATTTAAATGACAGTTAAATGTATACGCATCATACCGATATAAACAAATGTCTTGTCAGTTCACTTTGCACAAGAAAGCAAGTGCCAAACAGATTGTAGTGTTTCTGACTGAAGGAACCAGATGATTAAGTTGTAGTGCTGGTTTTAACCACAAGAGGGCGAACTAGAGCGAAGTTCTGTGATGTTAAACACTGGGAATATTTGGAGCAGCTGTTCTTTTGCCTCTTTCTGTTTCTTTTTTTCTGAACCTCTTATGTTTAAGGGGTTGCTGTGCTTTTCCTGACAACTTCACTGCTGTTTTCTTTAACGCTGTTCGCCTGGATTCTGACACACTGGCCTAAATGTGATGTCGCCTTTCCTGAATGTCATAAAACCACAGTCTCAGCTTGGAGCAAAGTAGAGAGGTCAAATATTTTACTCTGCTCATCTGTCACTATAGCAATCAGAATAGTACATATTAGGCTTTTGTTTAGGGCTGGGCGATACTGTCTATACCAGTATACCATCATGCTTTTCAGTGTTTACTGATATTTTTAACAGTATATTCATGACATGATGCTCAGTCAGGCTGTGATCAGTTCTCTTAAGCCAGGCATACACTGTGCGATTTTAGCCCAGTTTTAAGCCCGATTTGGTCGGAGCCGTCTGAATTTCATGATCGGGCCAAATTTCAGCTTCGTCGGCCGTTGTTTACCGCGCAGTGTGAAGGGGAAACGATGCCTGATTCGCTGCCCAAATGAGCTCCGATTGAGCAGCCTCACAAACCGATTTCTCAAAGTTGCACCCAAAACCACACCCAATCACAACCACCGCTCCTATACGAAGGCCAAAAAGCCCACATTTGCGGCACCAGTATCCATATATGACTACTTTGAATTGCGAGGTATAAATAAATGCAGTGTTCGTCAATGGCTGAATCTCAAACTGCCCCCTACTTCCTATGTAGTGCACAAGTTCTGGCTTCTACACCAAAACAATCCTCTGCTTGTCCAGTATGGAACTGTGCACACATGGCCGAATCTCAGAAGGCTATTTATTAGACATGTGATGCAATTTCTGGGTGCAGGAGCAACTATTTTAATATGTGGTGGACTGTGTAGGGAGCAGGGAGCCATTTGGGATTCAGCCAGTTTCTTGATCAGGACATCGGAGGCGCAGCATGTTGTTTTGAATGAAACAGGTTTATTGTACACAGTGGGTCTGTAGGGGCTGCGTTTCACGACCGTGTCATGTCAGGTCAGTCGGACCAAGTGCTTTCGTACAGTGTGAGCATATAAATCACAGGCTTTGGCCGAACACAAGGGGCATTCAAACGTACAGTGTGAGTCACCAAATAACAAAATTTCTAAAATCGCACAGTGTATGCCCGGCTTTACGGAACAGCCAGTTGCATAAAACATTTAGCAGCTTATTGAAGTAATTTTATATTCTTATATAGCTTTATATTCTTAATATCTACAGCTGTGTGCACGTTTTGTTGATTTTCTAAATGTAAAAGGTAACACATCCTCAGGGAACACACTTAACTATGGTATTTCTAGTGCACAGTTACTGTTTATTTGCTTTAACATATTGGAAAAAAAATGTAAAATATAAAATGTGCCATAACTTTCGCACAGGCCACATTTCCCAAAATATGTTAAAAGCAGCACATAAACAGTAACTTTGCATTAAAATGTGCAGAAGTGTGTTCTCTGTATTTAAGCTAAGAAAATCAACAACAACATAGAGCTGTTGAAGGCTGTCCCTGATTGGTCAGAAACTCAGCTCTGATTGGTCCAAGAGCTGGCTACTATCCATAATCCTGAACTTAACCGGCCCTGGAGCAGGTTAGGTGAGCAGCATAGGTTGCCATGGCGATGTAGCCCAGTAAAAAGTGATCCACTGTCGTGATACAAGCTTCGTAAGACGGACCTCAGGACTTGACGTTTAGAAAGAGCAATTAAAATCCCATGAAAACTAAATAAACCTTGTTAAAGTTTCAGTTTCACTCCCCAGTCCATACAGTCCATATGTAGAAACTAAGCTGCAAAAACAGCCCAATTTGATTTGTTTTTGTGATGTCACAAAAACCAACGCACATACATGTATCGTCCTATTCAGCCTGCAGCCGTTTAGCCCCGCCCACTCACACTGAAGTTACACTTATCGTTGTTTTTGGTCCTTAAATCCACACAAATGTAATAAGTTGACCTCAGGAAGAAAAATAAAACAAAAAAATGTATTATATATGATATTTTTTCTCTGAAGACATTTTTGAAAAACAACAATTTAGATGAATCTGGCTTTATATGGCTAGAAACATGAATTAATAAAAAAAGTCAATTTTGATTGAAGGTTGACAAAAAAACTAGCTCTATCACAGAGATGCACAACTCTGGTCCTGGAGGGCCGGCGTCCAGCACAGTTTGGAGGTTTCCCCCCTGAAAGACACCCACTTAACCTGGCAATTAACAGAGAAGTGTAATCAGGTGTGTTGGAACAGGTAAATCACCAAACTGTGCTGGACACCGACCCTCCAGGACCGGAGTTGAGCACCCCTGCCCTATCAGGTTTGTAAGTGGAGCAGCAGCAGCGTGAGAATGGACTCATTAACTTTATTAATGCAAACTTAAATAACGCCTCATAACACATTTGGAAAATATCACAATATTGATTTTTATCAGTATCGCCCAGCTCTGCTTTTGGCGCTGTCTGTATTTTATGCTTTTGGAGCAAAATTAAACACTAAAAAGTTCAAAAGTTTGCGATCACTTGCCGTATTAACAGTTTTTGTTTTTTTATATATAATAATAATTGCACAGAGCGGATTTAAATATTACAGACTATTCGCCGAGAAGTATTTTTATATGTTTTGTTTAAAATTTCTAGAATTCTGTCAACAAGAAGTTATTACATAATAAATAATATACTGTAATTATCTGTTTACATTAATATCTGCTTTGAGATTTGATCTCCAGGTTTAAATTCTGCATATAAATTTTATTAGAGCTTCATTCTTGATGTTTTTCAGCTTTTATCTTCTGCAGCTGGGTGGGTAGGATGGTCCCGCCTCTCCCCCATCACTCAGCGTGATGCTAGTCAGTGCAGGCGTCTGTTAGCTGACGTAACAGATCTGGCGTTTGGCACTTTCCTCCGAGCGCGTTCGGCTGTCCGATGACGTTGCGTGAGTGGCAGTTTGAAAAGATGCGGTGGTGCTTCACAGGTCTCGGAGGAAGCCTGTGTTAGCCTTCGCCCTCCTAGCGCTGGTGGTATCGTGTGACTGGGGGAGTCCTGACTAGTGGGTGGGATTGAAGACGACTAAATTGGAAAGAAAACTAAGGAAAAATCTGAAAAAATTCTCAACTTTCACAACTTTCTAGTAATTAGTTAAAAGGGTGAAGTTGTAGAGCTGTAGCATCATATTAGAGTCAATTTATGAACTTATCTCCAACCAAATCGGTTTTACTTTATTAAATACCTTAATTCTGATTGCAGACAGTGTATTTGCTGCGTTATGTACTGTACGTACTGTAGGCTCCTCATTACAGAGACTGTGGTTTTCCTTCACCTCCGCTCCGTCACTCTGTGCTGATACTAACGGCTGCTGTACTTCTGTAACTCTGCTGATTTCATTGTGACTCTGTTTTGATCTTCCTCGTCTGAGAGTTTGTGGCAGCGCTGATGGAGAATGTAAGAGTCCTTCACTCTGTTGAAGTGATGAAGGTGAGAGCGATTTAACATGAATAAATCTGTTTATTTCTGGACTCGGCTTTGTGCTCCTCTCTTCTCTACAAAGAGCTTCTCTTTTCTCTCCTCTCGCTGCTGCTCGGCCGCTAGCGCAGGTACGGCTGTGTCCTCACCTTCTTTCACCCTTTCACCTCTTCACTCTGGGAGGTTCTGCTCCACACGCTCAGGATGAAAGCCTGGACCCCAAAACACCTGCAGACAAACAGCCGTTAGAGGAGCTTTACACATTTGCTCTGTGGACTGTTTCAGCTGTGATCGTTAACTGTGTTGTTTTCTCCATCTTCTCCTCTCCTTTCACCTTCTTCTTCTTCTCCTTTTACATTTTCTTCCTCTCCTTTTTTCCCCTCCTCCCCTTTATTCTTATTCTCCTACTGCTCCTTCCCCACCTGCTACTTTCTCTTCTCCTCCCTCTTCTCCTCCTTTTCTTCTTCTCATATTCCTTCTATCCTCCTTCTCCTCCACTTTCTTCTTTTCTTCCTCCTCTTCCACCTTCTTTCTTCTTTGTTTTTGTCCCCCTCCTTCTTTCTTCTTCTTCTTCTTCTTCTTCTTCTTCTCTCTTTTCCTTATTTTTCTTTTTCTTCTCAGGAGATGAAACATATCAGGACATTTTCCAGGATTTTTCTCAGATGGCTTCAGACGATCCAGATAAACTTAACCGTTTCTGAGCAGAAGTGGCTCAAAGCTCCACCAACGCAGAACCTTCCAGGAAGCAGCAGCTCAGCTGTCCTGTTCGTATTCAGCACACAGGGGTAATTTCAGGACTGTGTTTAGTTACAAGCGGATTATATTAATGTATTATACATTTCCCAAAATACTCAAACAGGATCTTATACTGAAGATAAAGCGTAACATTCATTTGTCAGTTGGCGACTTTATTAATACTGTTTTCTGTGTTTCATCCTGAATTATTTGCCAGTTGTTAATCTAACCCAGCAGTGATCGACAGGAAGTCAGATATGATGTGAATGTCAAATGTATCATGAGTGGAAGGTTAATGATGCATCTTTGTTTTTTAAAACCACTAAATTAAAAAAAAATCACACGTTTACTGCTGAACGTTCTCGTCACGTTCCGTATGTAAACAAGTTCCTCCACAAAGCATAATCATATTTTACTCCGAAGTGTAAGAAAACGCATGTGTATGTTTGTTGTATTGCATGTTTGGTAGATTTGTGTTATATAAGTTCTGGGAGGTCACAGACGCTCATCTCACTCAACGTTTTCCAGCACTCGACATGCAGGGGTTTCAGAATCGTCATTACGGTGCCTTAATGTTATAGAGGCAAATTTTACTTTGGTGCATTTTTAATTTTGCTGTTTTTATTGACTTTATTTTCATTATCATGTTATTTTTTTTTATCATGACTTATCGTGACGTGTCATGTTGTGCTTGTTTTCATGTTGTGCTTGTTTTCATGTCTTCTGCAGTGATGAGTCTAAGATGATCTGCAGCTGTGTAGTAGCTGTGTGTTTGTGATCTGCAGGTGTTTTTAATGGAGATTGAGACTGAGGCCTGCACAGTGGGAGTACACTGTCTGTCAAAAGTTTGGGGACACTTCGCCTATTAAAATGTTTTAATGCAAAATGAGCATTCTCTTTGTCGGTTTGCAGTAAGTTACCAAAAAGGGAATCCCTCAAGTTTTTCAAAAAAACCTGCATGAATAAACGGTTAAGATGTTAACAGAGTCGTTCAGAGTGGTTTGGTGTGAAACGCTCTGTTCTAGAGAAACTTACTGAGTCAGAATTGTTCACAGTGGTGGTGATAGGAACCAGACGTCCACCTCTAAAAGCTCCCTCACAGAAAGTTACTACATGAAATGGTTATGAATTCACTGCCTGATGTCTGAGACGCTGATTTACAAAGGTTTTGAGAAGATTTTGACCTTAAACTCCATTCATGGTGGAGGGATACATAATATGCAGGGTGTTGTGAGGCCAGATAGTCTCCAAAAAACTTATTATTTCAGATTTTCCACAATTTTCCCATCATCAACATTCCATATAAACTCAGAAGACTCGTGTAGGTCCACTGGTGGTTCTGGATAGTGAATAAAATGTCTATATTTGTGTTGTAGTCATGGCGACCCCTGGTTCCTATCACCACCACTGTAAAGACATCTGAACCATTTCAAACCAAACCACTCTGAATCTCTCTGTTTACATCTCACACACTCAGTTATGCAGAAAATTCCAAACATTGAAATGTAGAGGAAAACAGTGTCACACATGTAGATACATGTAGACTCATTTGATTTTACAGGCTGTTCGTATTTGTTGACTCCAGTGAATCTTTACTGTTATCCAAACTCCAACTTCCAAAGTCGAGAACATCACTGCTGTCAGAACGAAACCTCATATCTCACTTTTTCTGTTTTTGATCTAATTTGACAATGCCTGTTGCTTTTTACATTGTGTGTAAATGTGATGATGAATGGACCAAAAGAAACGGCCCAAAAACTCTGGTTCCATTGACTTTTCCTTCTCCTGTAAGGTCATCACTTTGGAGATTTTGTTCCAACAGCAGCAAAATGTTAGTTGAATGTCTGTTATGGGCTTTAATGTTCGGTCATATTTGAAATACTGGACATTTTCCCCACTGTTAGCTCGGTGCTAACCTAACACAAACAAGGGTGCTAGCAGAAATTAGCATCTCAGCAGTGGCAAACACAAAAAAACTACTTTCAGAGCTAAAAGGTTTCTGCATTAAACATTGCTGTGTGGTGACATGATTGGCTGGAACACGTACATGATTTAGTGACCGTCTTTCAGCGTGAATAAGATTAATAAGTCATCCTGTGCTCTGCTGCACTGTAACACAATGACCACACACATTAATATGCTCAGTTACTACAAACCGACAAAGAAAAAAAGTGGCCCAAATCCAAATCTTTTTCTCCGTATGTGACACAGATGTGTGTCTGTGTGTCAGTGTGAACAGATAAACACACTGAATCTGACATTTTCAATTCCGGTTTGAGACGCTTTCATATGTGGTACTGAAATCCGATACGTATCCGATGTGTGGCAATGTCACTCAGTCTGAACAGCCAGATCGGAATTCATGCGACTTTTACGTCCGTCCAACTCGACATTCGTCATAATTTCGCGCTGCTGAGACTCATAAACATTTAGGCTGATGTTTCTGTACCAAAAAATTAGAAGAAAATTATCCAAAACCCTCCGTGTTTGAAAAGATTTCTAAAGAAATGTCCGAACGCGGCCGCAGGAGAACGAGGCTGCAGCGATAAAGAACAGTGAAAAGTCTGAAAGCAAAGTTTAAAGAATCCGAGGACGCAAACCAAAGAAGTGACCGCGCCCTTTTTACGGCGAGCTCGAACACTTTCTGGGTGATGAGCCCAGCTGTCAGTCAGTGAAGCTTCATGATGGCTCCTGTGATGCTGGTGAAGATGAAGCTGATCCTCCGGGAGCGACTGGCGTTCGTTGGCAGTCGTGATTGTTTACCTCTGGATGAGCCGTGAGGCAGCGTGACGCTCTGCTCTTTTGCACATGTGGGTCAGTTTAGGAGCTGATCTGTTCAGACTGATGTCGCATACAGATCACACTTAAAAGACAATGTGAACAGCCAAACAAAAAATCGGATTTGGTGAGAAAATTTGGGCCACTTTTACCTGCTGTGTGAACGTAGCCTATGAGCCTGTTTACACCTTGCATTAACGTGCTTTAAGTACGTTGTAATCAGAACACAGTGCATCCTGGAGGTGTTTACATCTGGCTTTTCATCCGTTCCAATCTGAACGTGATCCGATCACCGAAAACACATTAATGCGACTTTTGGCAGTAGTAATGGGAAAGCAACTCATTCTTAAAGCGATACCTCAGCAACCCTAATTTTCCTCCTTCTCCCCCAATATCCACTCAGAAAAACACTGTGTAGTAGCAGCCACAGTTTAATGTGCTTTATTCAAGGTTTATAGACAAAAGTGAGTCATACAGTGAAGAAACCACATAATCAAGACTATAAGAGATCACTGGTTCAGACAGCTCTGTGCTGATCGGTGGTGTTTAAGCTCCAGGGGTGGAAAGAAAACTGAGACACTGTGCTTTGGTGAGTGCTGAGAGCCAAAAACGTACTCGAGTGGACGTATCTACATTTACACACACTCAAAAATATGGCTGTTGTCCGAAGAAAACCTCGTATCTCCATTTTGGACGTTTTTCAGTTTTTGACAGAATTTGAAAATATCTGTTACCCTTTACGTTGTGTGTAAATTTCATGATGATTGAACTAAATGAAATGGCATAAAATGACTTGGAAAAAACTCTGGTTCCATTGACTTACATTAAAAGAAAAGTAGGTTTTTTCCTTCTCCTGTAAAGTTAACATTTTGGAGATGCGAGGTTTTCTTTCGACAACAGTGATATGCTAGTAAAGTGTAAAAGTAGAAAGTAAAAGTTTTAGCAGCTAAAATTAAAAGTGTTCTACTGGGCAGACTTAGAAGATTTAGCCAAACTCAGATAAATTATCATAGCTGTGTGCAGTTTCATTTTACGCTGATATGAATTTGGTTTGTTTTAATTTGGAAACACTGAATTAAGTTGCACTGGAACTCGTCTGATAGTTGATAAAAACAAAAAATGGTCTTTTAGATTTGTAACAAATGGAAAAAATAAGGAATACAAAGTTTTTTTTTCTGTTGGAAATATAATTGAGTAAAAGTACTCAGTTTCAGTAATGCTTGAGTAAAGTACAATAACAAAGTACAGAATATTAAGTATTTTCCACCTCGGTGAGCTTCCATCACTTCTTAGCTACCTTAATGATGTTCATACTATATATGTAGTTGTGTGCAAAGATTTGGGCACCCCCAGTCAAATAACGCTTTCTAAGTGTAAATAAGTTACACAGGATTTACAGAGAACAGACTTCTGCACAGTTTAATACACAATTACTGTTTACTTGCTGAATTTAACACACTGGGGGGGGACAAAATGTGGCCTGTGCAAAAGTTTTTTATTTTTTATTTTTTCTACTATGTTAAACCAAGAATTTGTGCACTAAAACGAGCAGTTTGTTCTCTGTTAACTTATTTTCACTTAGAAAACCAAGTAATTTGATCAAGTTGTTCAGACTTTTCCATACAACTGTATTAACAGCTCTGTGTAGATCAGTTTGTGGCTCTTAAATGGGGTTTTATTCATAAGAGTAGGTTGCTGATTTGGAGTCAAGAGGAGCTGGGCTTTGGGCTTTGGGCTTTGGGCTTTAGGCTTTAGGCTTTAGGCTATGGGCTCTGGGCCTTAGGCTCTGGGCCTTAGGCTTTGGGCTTTGGGCTTTAGGCTTTGGGCTTTAGGCTTTGGGCTTTAGGCTTTGGGCTTCGGGCTTTAGGCTTTTGGTCACTGTGATTTATGCAGGTGAAAGCTGAGTTACAGCAAAATGAGCTGTCTTCCATTGTAAAGATAGAATGAATTAAGCAGTATTGTAGTCTCTGCCTTATAACGGCTGCGTACAGTACAGCGCAGATGTGAATCAGTCTGCGTCATAATTCTCTCTGTGGCCTGTGTGATGTAAATTGTGTACATTTGTACATACATGTGCTTAGGTTTTATTTGCTTTGGGTATTTCTTCAGTAAGAAATAGAGGTACTTGAAATATATATATAAATATATATATTAATAAGCTTGTTTGTCTTTTTTGTTTGATTTTTATGTTTTGAGCTTGTTTTTATTGAAAACTCTGTACTCAATCATATGTATATGTTCCTGGAGATTTATAAGGAGATGATTATATTCACTGCAGATGTTGAGTTTGACTGATGAAGCTGTATTTTCTGTATGATTTTTATAAAGCATTTTATTCTGTTGGCATTACTGATCCGAAGTCTTTTTTATGCGTGTTCATTCTTGTGTCTAAAGCCTCTTTAGTCTAACGATTTAGTCTAATTGAATCACGTTCTCCAAGCGCGCTGCGCTGATCCGCCTCCTCAGTGCGAGCGTTATCGAATCAGTCAGATCGTCCATCATTCGTTCATTAGTGCTCGGAGGGGATTTGTGCGTGTAATGTAGACCATATGCACAGATCCTCAGCTGAGGCTGTTACATAAACAGCAGTGAAGCTGCTCAGCTGCTCGAATAAGCCCTGCCTCCTGCACTGGGATTGGCTAGTGGTTGACACTGTCTAGCAGTTCGCATTATTTCCACTAGTGGAACATCCAAGTATGGCGCTGCCATCTGACTCTGTAGAAGCGTTTTCCTCAAAGACGTCCAGCCAAAATGTCAAACATTCACCATTTTTAGGTCTAAAGGTCAGATTTGTCATTCTATTGCTTAACCTGCTGCATTTTAAAGCCCCCTTTTACCCTGTTCTTCAGTGGTCAGGACCCCCATGGACCCTCACAGAGCAGGTACTATTTGGGTGGTGGATCATTCTCAGCACTGCAGTAACACTGACGTGGTGGTGGTGTGTTAGTGTGTGTTGCGCTGGTCTGAGTGGATCAGACACAGCAGTGCTGCTGGAGTTTTTAAACACCTCAGTGTCTCTGCTGGACTGAGAATAGTCCACCAACCAAAAATATCCAGCCAACAGCGTCCTGTGGGCAGCGTCCTGTGACCACTGATGAAGGACTAGAGGAT